GTGGCAGTGGCATTCCTGTGGGATTATTTAGCATGTTTAATCCTTGTGTTACCTGTAAACTCACAGTAAGTGCTTTTAGCCACTATTCCACACTGCCTAGTGAAGGGGAGAGACACAGCTGGCTGATCTCTGAGACCTGACTTTGCTTCCTCTCTTCCCCATTTCCTTCTCATTTCCTCTCCTGACCTGGCTCTTTACTTTCCTCCAACCTTAGACACCCCAGACAGGAAACACACACAAGCTTCTGCCCATTTGTGCATCAAGTTATCTAGAAATACGTTTTGGTGGTGGTGTTTTTTTCATTTCCTTGCTCTTTCTGCTAAAATAACTGGGTCTGTGAGTGTGTTGTATGTGTACTGGGGTCCAGAATTAACTGTAAACTATGGGTCCTGGTGTGGCACTGTAGAATAAGCACTGAACTACTCAATGCAAGGTCGGTGGTTCAAACTCCTTAGCTGCTCCTTGGAAACCCTAAACAGGGTCACTATGAGTCGGAACTGACTCCACGGCACTTAACAACAACAACAATGCAGTAGAGCAGGGGGCTGTTGCACAGAGTTCCCTCTGGGGTACTTACTGGGCAGGAAAATTAGCTCTTCCCTTCAAGGTTGAGAGGTTTGTGTGGGCTGAGAGTCCAGAGGCAGTGGAAAAGCATTACATGCCATTTGCCTGAAGTAAAGTTCTAAAATCAAAGTGTCTTGCAGGTTAGAAACTTACTGCTTCTTAGGACTGATCTGGTGTGGCACTGGAGGAGAAAACTGCACTATAAGGTGGGCTTGAACTGCAAAGTCAGCAGTTCAAACCCACCAGCCATTCCTCAGAAGTCCTACACAGGGTCACTATTGAGTTGAAACTGACTCGATGGCACTTAGCAACCACAACAGGACTGGTCTAGGGCTGGTTTGTGCCATGGAGTGAGCTAACACTTCCTAGTCCAATGGCTCTCAATCCAGAATGTGCATTAGCATCATGTGGGCAGTGAAAAAACACAATACTGATGCCTGGACCACACCATAGACCAGGGGTAGGGAAACATTTTTCTGTCAGAATTTATGACATCATTTGTGGGTCATACAAAATTACCACCTTCAAAACTTGCCTGCTTTATTTGGTCAAATGTTTAATTAACTTACTCCTAAGGAGTCCTAGTGTGGCACTGTGGGTTAATGTGCCAGACTGCAAAGCTGTTTGAACTGCAAGGTTGGTGGTTCAAGCTTACCAGCTGCTCCTTGGAAACCCTGTACAGGGTCGCTATGGGTTGGAACTGACTTGACGGCACTTAATAACAACAACAATATGATGACTGGAGTCCTGGTGTGGCGCTGTGGGTTAATTCGCCTGAATGCAAAGCCGTTTGAACTGCAAGGTTGGCTGTTCAAGCTCACCAGCTGCTTCTTGGAAACCCTATACAGGGTTGCTTTGGGTCGGAATTGACTCGACGGCACTTAACAACAACAACAACAATATGATGACTAACTGCGGTTGCCTTTTCAGGGTGAGACGTAATAATTTCGTGGCCCTAGAAGTCCTGGTATGGTGTTGCAAGATAATGCACTGGACTGCAAGGCTAGTTTGAGCTGCAAGGTCAGTGGTTCAAGCCAACCAGTTGCTCCTCGGAAATCCTATACAGGGTCACTATGAGTCGGAACCAACTTGACAGCATTTAACAACAACAATACCAACAACATAGCCCATGGGCTGAACATTCTCTACCCCTGTCATAGACCAATAGAACTAGTCTGGGCAGAAGTGAGTCCAGTGTGCAGCTTGGGTTTTGAACTACTGTGTTGGTTCAGTCTTTCTTCCTTTGGCCTATAATATTTCAATCCTAATCCAGAAGGGCAGCAGGTTAGAGGATTGGGGACAGCAGGGATTACAGGTCCTTCCCAAGACTTTGCTCTTTGCTCTTGTCCTCAAGTCCTTTCTCTCCCAGGGGCCTGCAGGTGGGTAGAGGGGTCAGACCTGAGACCAAGCCTGGAAGGGGGAAGGCAGCTCGCTGCTGCAGGCCTGGAAACCCTTCAGAGGCTTAGCCGACTCACCCTTGTAGTGCAGGGAAAGAGAAGGGATCACTGACTGATTTTTCCAGCAAAGAAAAAGGGGAGGTAAAAATCTACCGACTTTCAGATTCGGTCAAATTGGGCGCTGAACTTTGGAAGTGAAAACTAACAGCCTAAGAAATCTTCCTTGCCTTTGATGAAGGTGGGCAGACAGACCAGAGAAAGTCAGCTGCAGAGAAATAACACTTCTCTGAAGGCCCTGCTGTAATTGTAAGATGGCATAACGGCCCCTTTCTTAGAGTGACCACATTTTCTTACTTATGGAGAAATCTCAGTCTCTAAAATTATAGGTTGCCAGAAATTATGCTGTTTAAAATCCTATCAGTAGGAACAAAAAGCCATGCTCTTACCTGGTGGATCTAAGGTATTTTGAATTCGAGAGTCAACTTTCTTTCCAACCCAAATGCACAGTTTTAACTAAGGAGCTGATACCACAGTCCGCATTTATCTTAGCTTTACAGTCTCCAAGAAAGCCAGACCTTGCATCATCTCTTACTTCAGATTTTATCCATCCCTGTCCATCAAGCCCTGCTTTGCTTGTTGTTGTTAAGTGTCGTTGAGTCAATTCTGAGCCATAGCAACCCTGTATAGAGTTTCTAAGGAGCAGCTGGTAAGCTTGAACCACCAACCTTGCAGTTCAAACGACTTTGCAGTCTGACGCATTAGCCCATAGTGCCACTACTTTGCTTAGAGCCTAACAAATCACTGCTTCCTTTAAGCTTCACTCCATCTCTCACCAATTACTTGGTGAAGCACCCCCAGTTCCTGTGGTATGTAGCCATCCTAATTGCAATGCATCAATAAACCTGACTTTGTCGGACTGCAGGTTTGTTCTGGTGATCTTTGGCTTATTGGACTAGGCTGCTGTCATCTGTGCTTACCAATTCCAGCTCAGCTCCCCTTTCTCAAATCTCAGGTCTGTACTTCCAAAGTGTTACGTCTGGAAGGTCCTCTATCTGAAACTTACATGACCAACATAGAATTTTCATCTTGCTCTGTATTAAATCAGTGTGCTCTGACTTTGCTTATCCTGGTAAATGAGCATGTGTATCTAGTTAGAAATCTTGTATGATCCCTGATTCTTTGCTCTTCTTCATTCTCTTATTTGTCACTGTGCTGGGCACACAGTAGGTCCTCAATAGCTTTTTAGTGGATGAGTGAATGGACCAGCCGCTCTAGTGCTGATTTGAATCCCAGCATACGTGTCCTCAAGCTTTGCTTATACCCTTCTCTGCTTGATAAACTCATCCATCCACCTGTCCCACTTCCTCTTTCCTTGGGAAGCCTCCTCAACTCACTCTGGGAAGAAATAATCTGTGTCCCCACTGCACTTTGTGATGCCTCATTTAAGCACTGATCGTAGTGTTTTTTAGTTATTTATTTACTTATTGGTCTCTCTTGGAGTCTGGGCTCCTTGAGGACTAGTTCATTGTGGTGTTCTCTAAGGCTAGTTCTGAAGGGATTTGTAGATGTGTGGGACAAAGTGCTTTACCTGGGACTCTCTCTAGAAGTGGCAGAGAGTAACACAAGAAGGCTGAGCAGGGCTGGGACAGGATCAAGCCAACCTGAAGAGGAAATCAGAGACTGGAAGGTCCTGCTGAGCTGCCTTCAGGAAACTGTTCATGCAGTACAGATTATTCTCCCAGTTCCTCACCTTCACCCCAGCTGATCCTTTTTGTTACCTGGACCACCAACAGCCAGACCTTTCAAATCCTCCCTCCCCTGCCCTCATGTGAATGACCATCATGGTTTAACCATCCACTCCTATAAATAATAAAGCGGCAAACATCTTTAACAATATACCTCTAATCCCATCTCTCAACATCACTGATTGCTTCCTTAGACTAAATTCTAGAGGTTAAAATTTGCAAGGGCAACAACGTGAACATCATGTATGCATGCCTTAGTGGGGAACTGGTTTAGGCCACTGGAGTTACAAGAGGTTAGAGAAGTACTGGTTTTTGTTAGGAATAGGTGGAGGTGGGGGCTGACATGAGGGTGGAGATAGGAAGCCAAGAGGGGGCTGCTTGCAAGAGCTACCGTGGAGAACATAGAGATGCTGGCAGGATGGATACTTTGTGGTAACTGGGCCTGTTGCAAAGTCTTTATTGGGAAAGGAAAGGAACAGAGGTTGGCTGCTGGTTCCAATGGAAGGGAGTCTGGAAGCTTCTCTTTACTCCACTGTACAGAAGATGGTGCCTGGAGAGCTGTGAGACTCCAGGGAGGTATCAGGAGCCCAGTGAGGCATGAACACCCACCCCCCCAAACTTGGCACCCTCTCTCCTCTCTTTGGGTTCAGCTTTGCCTAGCTGGCTTTGTCCCCAGGGCAGAAGGCCCAGTGGAGGCGGTTGCTGGGTTTCCTTTCATTGTACTCCAATGCCTGTGGCCTGTTTAGTACAAAGCCTTCCTTTCCCAGGGACCCTGCTCTGACAGGGGCCCCTGTCCTGCTCCAGGGCTATGGGTGAACGAGGGTGTGAGGGCTGTAGACCTGGTACTGTGGTGTTTGAACTTTGCTTGTGGGGAGCATCTCCTGGGAGGCAGGGCCTGAGCTGGACCCTGGGAGGACCCACCCTCATCCAAGGGGTGCTAGGGCAGACTGGGAGAGGGTTAGGGAGGAGGCTTCCTTAGAGGGCTTCTAGAGAGCTCTGAGTGGATCTCAGGACATTGGGAGAGATGGGGGAAAGCAGAGTACTTTGAAGAGAAGTTGAGATGATCGCTGAGTGCCAACCTTCGAGATCTTTCTGAGTAGATGTTAGAAGGCCCTCAGACCTGGGAAGCTGCTCCCAGGTCCTTGAACAGTGAGGTGTTGTTGGTATTCATTACCCACATGGGGCGTCTGGGGGGTTGTGGGCCCTAATAATAAGGGTGAACTTCTGGGTGGGGTTCTGCTGTGAGGATGGTATGCAAAACTGATCTATTCTCCTCTCCCATCCCCTTCTCCAGACTTCCTTCTATGGCCGCTTCAGGCACTTCTTGGATATCATTGATCCTCGCACACTCTTTGTCACTGAGGTAAGTCATGGCTGTCACTCTCAAGGGGGCACCATGCCCTTTGTACTTTGTCACTTCAGAAGATCTATGGGAGATGAAGGAGTAGGGAAGATGGCAGATAAAAAAAAATAAGGAGGGTGGTGACAAGTGACAGGAAAGATTATATATGTGTGTTTATATATACATGGAGTTCTGCTGTGGCGCTGTGGGCTAATGTGCCAGACTGCAAAGCTGTTTGAACTTCAAGGCCAGCGGTTCAAACTCACCAGCTGCTCATCGGAAACCCTATACAGGGTCTCTATGGGTTGGAATCGACTCGACAGCACTTAACTATAACTATCTATCTATCTATCTATCTATCTATCTATCTATCTATCTATCTATCTATCTATCTATATCTCTCTCTATATATATATATTGAGAGAGAGAGAGAGAGTGTCCTGGTGTGGCACTGTGGGTTAATACACTGAACCGCAGGGTTGGTTTGAACCACAAGGTCATCAGTTCAGCCTCACCAGCTACTCTTTGGAAACCCTATACAGGCTCCCTGAGTTGGAACCAACTCAATGGCACTTAACAATATATCTGTATTTGAGTTTATTCACTGTTATGTGTGCTTTATTCACATTCTCTCATTTCATTTGGATCTCACAACACCCCTTCAAGATGGATATTGTTATGATCTAAAAGTTTAAAAAAACTATTACCAAATACATGGATTTTATGCTCATTATAAAAGTTGAAACAGTACAGATGTCTTTTTATTATCTTCTCTTCCTGGTTCCCTTTTCTCATAGGTAACTGTTACTGGCTTTAAACTTCAGGTTTATTAAGGTATAATTCACCTTTTTTACATGAGTCTTGACAACTGTATTCATTGATGTATTCACTGCCACAATTAAGGCAAAACATTTCTATCACCTTAAAGAGTTCCCTCGTGCCCATTTGTAGTCAATCTCTTCTCCCCACCTCAGCCTTTGGCAGCCACTGATGTGTTTCCTACCTTTATTATTTTGCCATTTCTAGAATGTCATATAAATGGAATCCTACAATATGCCTGACTTCTTTCCTTTAACACAAAGCTCTTGAGATTTACCTATGTTGTTGCATATATTAATAGTTCATTTTTATTGCTGACTAGTATTTCATTGAATGGAAATACCACTGAATTTGTTTAATCATTCACCTATTGATTAACACCTGGGCTATTTCCATTTTTTTTGACAATTATGAATAAAACTGCTATAAACAGTCTTTGTGTGGATGTATGATTTTATTTCTCTTGGGTGAAAAATAGGGATGGGATTGCTAGCTCATATGGTAAGTGTGTGTTTATAGGAAACTGTGAAACTATTGTTCAAAGTGGCTGTATCCTTTTACATTCCTATCAGTAATGTACGAGAGTTCCAGTTGCTCCACATCCTCATCAACACTTGATGTCAGTTTAAAACATTTTTATTGTAGTCATTCTAAGAAGTGTGCTTTGTAAGTAGTTGTATGTATGTACACATGTGTCTGAGACTGTGTGGTGGGCACATATAAAATAGCCAATGTTTATTAAGCACTTACTGTAAGACAGGCAGTTTTGTAAGCATTTTATATGCATGAGTTGATCAGATTAAGTCAAAGCAACCCTGTGAGGTAGATATTATTGTAAGTTCCATTTTGCAGATGAGGAAACAGACAGACAGAAGTTAAGTCTCATGCATATGGTCACACAGCTGGCAGAAGTTGGAGCCAGGGTCTGAACTCAGGTAAGCTTGTCTCCAGAACCCTTACTCTTAGCCAGTTTGCCTTTGTATTCAGGTAACTCAAATTCAGGAGTTATCCAAGATAGCTTAGCTGGCAGAAGGCCTGAACTCAGGCCCTGGGTCCACCCTGAAGCAAGTCGCCGATCCTCTGAGACCACTTTCCAAGTGAACAGGACTTCATTGCACATCTTCTTCGTGCTGAGCGCTGACTTGTTTCAGATCCATGGTGGCAGGAAGCACAAGGCTTAATGGGCACCTGGGCCTAGGCCCATCTTAGAGGAATGTAGTCCAGTATCATGAATTGTAGAAACTACCCTGTTACATGGTGTCCTACTACATCTTAGCAAAAATGAAAAGCTTGGAGATCTTGCTGCCTGGTTTTATCTGCCTTTCAGATCTACTGCTTCTTGAGATCAAAGCTTCTGCAATCCTAAGCTCTGTCTGGGGTCTCCGAAAGTGTTGTGTGTGTACATAAAACTTCTGTAAGAGCACCAGACTAGAGAAACTACTTACACAGTCTAGGTAATGTGTCTTACTAGAAAGTTCCTGAACTGTGCAAAACTAGATAAAATTGCAGTCCTAAAATCCCAACCCAGACACCACCTGCTTGATTGAGGTCAATGCTTAAGTCAAAACCTAGAGGTACTAATGGTGAACTTTGGAGTACTGAGGGGTAGATGTAGGGAGTAGAACTTTGGAGAACTGAGGGGTAGATGTAGGGAGGCGTGTTTCTCAGAACTACCAGAAGCAGGGCTTTGTGGAGGGATGACCAGTTAAATGTCTCTCCCTCCTTCCATTCCCAGTCCATTTCATTTGATAAACCTCTTCCTTGTATCACAGTTTTCTTTCTCAACTCTGGCATTTTAAAAGACCCCAACTAAACCATTTTTAGTTGCTTTCCTCTATCAATATTTACAAATAGTGGTTACTAATTGGGCTGCTGATCTCACGGTCAGCAGTTCAAAATTACCAGCTGTTCTGCAGGAGAAAGATGAGGCTTTCTGCTCCCATAAAGTTTTACAGCCTCGGAAACCCTGTACAGGGTCGCTTGAGTCGGAACCGACTCCACGGCACATAACAACAACAACATACTATACTATACTATTAATTGAAATGTCAGAGCTAGTTAAATATTTACTAGTACATAGCTAAAGGATTGACAATTTTAGAATATTCTTTGAGTTTCACATGATCGCTTCCCTCCTAAGAAATTCTCATCAGCTTCCCAGAAAGATACACAATTCTGCACCTCATTAGGGACTATTGCCACCCTTTCAGAAAAGTTTTACCCATAGAAGGTCTTCCAGTCCCTAAAATCTCTGGAAGGGACCTAAGTGGGGCTTCCATGCTAGGTAGACAGTGGGCTTAACCTTTGCTGGCTCTAGCCTAGGCAGGTTTCTTAGCAAAGCCATCTCCACTGAAGCATTAAGAAGTTTGAGGTGCTGAGAGGAGTGTTTCTTACCCGAGCCCCTACCCCATGAGCTCTCATGACACCGGGAGGACCAGGCTCTCTCTTCTGCTGGGCTCAGCCCACAGGCCATGACTTAAGTCTACAAAGCACTGCCTCTCTCCAGAGCCCTTAGCTGGTGTCCTGGGAGGGAACTTGGGCTATGGCTACCCAGTCAGAGGAGACCTGGGGTGGGCCTGTTTGCTTGTGAGGATGGGAGGGTAATGGCAGACTTGAAGGAGAAACTGAAGTTTTCTAAGCTGGAAAGATCCTGAACAGCTGAGCCACTTGATGACCAGGCTTTGAGGAGCAGTGGCTGAGTCAATAGATGGACTCAACTTAAGGAAGTTTTACAGCTACTTGTTTGCAATTTATAACTGAGCAAACTTTGAAAAGATTCTAACCTTTGTATGTGTAATGAGGTGGAGAAAATTGTATCCACTATAATTTCTCATAGGAAGAATGCTGTCTTTGTTCCTAGAGTGCCTTGAACAAGGATTCAAAGGAGGAAGGAGGTCTCTGCTTGGCAGAGGGGAAAGAATTGTGCTTTTTGATTTTAAAAGGAGAGAGAAGGAAAAGAAGGGAAAACAGTGGGAAGGAGTAGAAGAGACCAAGGTGAGCAGTCAGGGCAGTAAAAGAAACGCACAATGGAGACTGGGCTGGGGGCCTCTTTTGAGAAAGGTGATGGGCCTGCGCTTGGGAAAGTTGCAGTGTTACAGTATTGTCCCCTCCCTCATCATTCCTGGGGAGTTGTCAGTAAAGTCTCCTTGGTTCATGAAATCTCTGCCAGAATAAATTGAGGGCAGAGCATCTTGGAGGGCTGGGAGTCTTCTGTGCAGAGTCAGGCTAAGGAAGGAAATCAGCAGGGCTGGGTAGAACCCCAAAGGGAAGGCTTTGACCTTTCACATAGGGTGTGGTCACTGTCCAAATGTTTTTCATCACCAAACAGAAACTTGGGTCCTTGAAGCAGTAACTCCCCATTTTCCTTTACCTCCATAGCCTCAGGTGTTGTTAAGTGCCATCTAGTCAGTTCCAACTAATAGTGACCCTGTATAGAGTTTCCAAGGAGTGATGGGTGAGCTTGAACCACCAACCTTGCAGCTCAAACCAACATTGCAGTCCAGCGCATTAACCCTCAGTGCTACTCCAGGACTCCTCCGTAGCCCCTAGCAACTTCTAATAAACCCTTATCTCTATGTAGTTGCCTATTCTAGATATTTCATATAGGTGGGATTATATAATATTAGTCCTTTATTGTATGACTTACTTCACATATTTTCAAGGTTCAACAACATGTTGTAACATGTATTAGAACTGTATTTCCTTTTATGGGTGAGTATTCTATTGTATGTCTACACCCCATTTTGTTTATCCATTCATCTTTTGGTGGACACTTGAGTTGTTTCTCTTTTTGACTATTGTGAATAATGCTGTAGTGAACTTTGGTGTGCAGAAATCTGTTTGAGTCCCTGCTTTCAGTTCTTCTGGGTAAATACCTAGGATTGCTGGTTCACATGGTCTTATGTTTAACTTTTTGAGAAACCATCTAGCTGTTTTTCACAGTGACTACATCACTTTACATCCTGGTGTGGTGCTGTGGGCTAATGCGTCAGACTGCAAAGTCGTTTGAACTGCAAGATCCGTGGTTCAAGCTCACTAGCTGCTCCTGGAAAACCTATACAGGGTTGCTATGGGTCGGAGTCGACTTGACAACACTTAACAATAACAAACCAGGAATAGGAGTCCTGGTATGGCACTGTGGGTTAATGCGTTGACCTGCAGAATCAATTTGTAATGCAAAGTTAGTGGTTCAAGCTCACCAA